ATTTTTAACAAATTATTCTGTGTATTTCCCGGCAGAGTCAAATCAGTCACCTCAGACGCGGTGCCCCCTTCTGAGGGGAGGAGGGGAGTCACGATCACTTTTAACTGCAGAGAAAATCATTTGTGCCCTCGGGGCGGGAGGTTTGCTTCTCGTAGAGCGGGGGCGGACGGAGACGGCCGGCACAAGGAGTGGAGGACGGGGGCGGGTCGGTCGGATCCCGGGGGCCGCTTGTGGAGACGATGCGGGGAGCGAGGGCCAGGAGATGGGCCGGCTACATATGGAGGTCCACGGTTACCTCAGGCATAGCTTGGTCAAGCCATTTGTTCACTTCCTTTGCTCTTAAATATAAAAAATAAAAGACATCCCAGTGTATCTACTACACACACAGCACACGCAGAAACCAGCGTGCGTGCACACGCTCAAACTTACGCCGCAACCGAACGGCCCGACTTTTAGTCCGACGAGCAACACCAGTCTTTCAGTACGTATATGCGCAACTCAGCGATTCAGCTCCCTAAATGGTGCAGTTTTATGGTGATGTGCGACTAATGGCTCAGCAGAACATCTTTAAAGGCCACTTAAAAGCGAGCAGGCTCATAAACTGCGTGACACACAGCAGTGAGATCTGACCACACAACACTCATTTTAGTGACTGAATGCATGGTGGTGTGTGTGCGTGTGTGTGTGTGTGTGTGTGTGTGTGTGTGTGTGTGTGTGTGTGTGTGTGTGTGTGTGTGTGTGTGTGTGTGTGTGTGTGTGTGTGTGTGTGTGTGTGTGTGTGTGTGTGTGTGTGTGTGTGTGTGTGTGTGTGTGTGTGTGTGTGTGTGTGTGTGTGTGTGTGTGTCTGTGTGTGTGTGTGTATGTGTGTGTGTCTGTGTGTGTGTGTGTGTGTGTCTGTGTGTGTGTCTGTGCGTGTGTGTATGTGCGTGCGTGTGTGTCTGTATGTGTGTGTGTGTGTCTGTGTCTGTGTCTGTGTGTGTGTCTGTGCGTGTATGTTTGTGTGTGTGTGTGTGTGTGTGTGTGTCTGTGTGTGTCTGTGTCTGTGTGTGTGTCTGTGCGTGTGGATGTGTAGAATATTCTACATAGTCCTATCTTATGCATATCTCCATTAAACTGTAACATTTAAAAATAGTAACAATAATATACATTAATTATTGTGCGATAATATATTTTTAATGGAGGCCTCAAATGAGCCCAGTCGGCTTTCTTTATATTTTTCAATTGTGCAAACAAAGAAAACGTGCCTCCTTTAAAAGGTTTAATTCACAAGATAATTCTTCATCTCTCTGACGTGTCCCAATAGGTGTATTATTATTTATTAGCACTTAGTTTTGGGTGAACTGCCGTCCTCACAAAACAAGGTCCAACGTTTCAACGTGAAACGTTTTCTTCAGACTAAATCAGGAACCAGGAAACATTTATTGCCATAATATGTCAGACATACAAGGAATTTGACTTGGCGGTTGGTGCGTGACAGAAGACAGTACGACAACAGGAATAAAATAAAATATAATGCTATGGGTTAGTTTAAAATAAAGAAAGTCTCTTTATGTGTCTCTCTGTGTCTTTACCCCGGCACGTGTTACTGGGTAAGAC